TAAGGCTAAAGTTAGGACACATTGAGCTAAATACTGTTAAGGCTAAAGTTAGGACACATTGAGCCACCCACTGTCTAGGGTTACGGTTAAGATAATGAATGACTGTCATGGCCGTGTGTCAGATGTTCAGATGGTCAAACACAACGAGACACTTTCTGATATCATTTAGTTTTTATGTTTCTGCAGTAAGAGAACTTCCCAGCCTCCTCCTGGTGGTCTGCTGGACTCCATCTCCAACATATTTGGGTATGTAGCTGTTAGCTCATCGGTCCAGGTCTCTGCAGGTCTCTGCAGGTCTGGACTGTCCGTGTTGTGATTGACCACCTGTCTATCTACCTGTCTGTCTGCAGCGTGTCTGAGTCTGTCAAGTCTGGACTCGCCCCCCCGCTCTCCAGGTGAAGGACTCTGTGTGTTCACCTGTTCACACTGTTAGCTCTTTGATTGACAGCTGGCTGACTCAAACTCTATTATTTATTATACTGTTAATAATATTTATTATTGGACTCGCTGGCAGCATCTGTTTTGATTATTTATCATCACTAATAATAATATCGTACCCACTAAGTTCAACTGAGTTAAGAGTCTCGTGATTGGCTGTTGATCGTTTTGCTGTCAGTGAACACGGTGAAGATTGTAGTGACTAGATTAGCAATAATCTCAATGCTAAAGCAGTAATCGGTTATAATCTTCAGTTTTCCAAAGTAAAGAATTAAACGGATCTACAGCTGATTCGTTGATTTTCTTTGATTGTTAAAAGTTCCCCTAATTCACCTTCAACCTTCTGTATGTGTAGGTAGTTAATCATATTAATGATGATTATTGATAATGATAGTAGTAATAATAATAATAATTATTATTCATACATGGCATTCGGCCTGATTATCAGATCTGTATCTGAACAACTTCATCAAACTTTGTTTTTTAATGTAGTTCCTTTTTTTTATTTTTTATAAAATTCAACAAAACTACATTGAAATTGTCTTCATGCGAGTTCTGTGTTTTTATCATCAGCTTCATGGTTAATTCACTGTATTAAGATCTTCATCATCATCATGTTGATAATCACCTAAACCTAACGAATACATTTAAATAATTATGTATATTGTAATAATAATAATACATTTCCTATTTTAAACAGCATCCTAAATGATTAATTATTTGATGAATGGATTCATGGCCCATCTCTAATCACATGATTCATTATTGACTCAATCAAAGGTATCAATCAGTACTGGTTCTGTTTACTGTGAGACTAAATGTAGACTAGTGGTGAACAGACCAGCTGGTCTCCACTAAACCTGGTCCTAAGTCCTAAGTGAAGACTAATGGTGAACAGACCAGCTGGTCTCTACTAGACCTGGTCCTAAGTGAAGACTGGTGGTGAACAGACCAGCTGGTCTCTACTAGACCTGGTCCTAACTCCTAAGTGAAGACTAGTGGTGAACAGACCAGCTGGTCTCTACTAGACCTGGTGCTAAGTCGGTCTTTATTAAGGCCAATCTTTAGAACCTAACGTTGCCATGGCTACAGCTAAAGTGTCCTGGTGCAACTCGTGCTCGTGACCTTTGGCTCCACTTTAAGAAATTAAAGAATCGAGTATACTTAATAATTTAATTAAGAGGTGTCGGTAACGTCCCGTGTGATTTGTCAGTGAGTTGACTGTCATAGCTCTGGGGGGGGGTGTATGAAACTTTCTTAAAATTATCTTTTAAATTGACAAACCTGTTTAATTCAAGACACAACTCGTCTCTCGCTGGCGCTAATAGACTGGTTGGACGGCATTGTTTGGTTGGACTGATTTGTGACTGTGCTTCTCTTCCTCAGCAGGCGTCGACCTGCCAACTCTTTCAGCTCCTCACCTGAACACCCTGAAGCCCCGTCTGGAGTGTGTGCAGAGGTTCGAGTCCCTTCAACAGCTCTGCATGTGTTTGTAAGTAACCAGGGGAGTGACGCATGATGGCTTGACTGAGAGACTAGTTTAAAATGCTGGGAAATACCACACGACTCGATGTTCATTGATATGTGATGTCTTGTAGTGTTTGCCCAGCTGATCAATGACGTCATAGATGGAGGTGTGTTCAATAGGTGAAACCTCATTGGTCAGTGATGAGCAGTAAAAGGTCTGATTACCCACAATCCTCTCCTGCTGCCCTCCTGCTCCCAGCAGCCCCTGCTCTGTACTCCCATCATGCTCTAGTGGTGCAGTGGTGGTCCCAAGAGCTGCAGACAGACAGGATGTGACATCACAGTGTGAGTCAGTACAGAGACCCTGCAGGTTCAGTGTGATGATGTCATCCATCAGCGAGGAGCGTGAGGCTGAGGAGGAGGAGGAGGGAGATGACCAAACCCGAGACTAAAACCAGAAGAGAAACGGATGTTTTCATTGGTTCATAGTTGTGTGTTCGTGTTCGTTCAGGAAGCTCATGACGGTGAGGTAAATGCAGTGAGGTTCAGCCCTGGATCTCGTCTCCTAGCAACAGGAGGGATGGACCGCAAGGTCAAGCTGTGGGAGGTCGTCGCAGGTGAGTTCTCTTCAGGTTTCATTGGTTCTCACGGGTAGACCTCTGTTGGTCCCGCGGGTAGACCTCTGTTGGTCCCGCGGGTAGATGTCCGTTGGTCCCGCGGGTAACCAGGTTTCTAACGCTGAGCCACGTGTTCTCGTGTTCACAGTCAGACTGTACCTGAAGGATTTATAAAACAGGAAACTCCCAATTTGTTAGTAACTGTTAGTTACTTTTATTACTGAAGTCGTCTACAGTTCTATGCATATGAGACGGTGTAATATGTAAATGAACATAATCATAATGAAGTGACTCGGCTCTCGATGAGGTGAACAAATCTCCTTCAGTCTCTTATATTCCGGCTGTTTTCTGAATCATAATCATCACTGTCTTTATTGTGTTCATGATTTAGGAACAGATCTCATGTTTAAGTTAACGTGTCTCTTGAAATCCTGGCTTTAATCTTCATGTGTTCAGGTCGCTGTGAGCCTAAAGGCGCTCTGACTGGCAGCAACGCTGGAATCACCAGCATCGAGTTCGACAGCGCTGTAAGTGTTTACTGTTTCAGTATTTATCATATTAATGTCCAGAAGACTTTCACATGAAGACAAAATGTTTGCTTTCATTATTTCACACATTTGTGTTTTGGTTTGTGGGTGGGCTTAAGTTACTTCAATATATCACAGTGATGTGTGTGGATGTCTTGTGTTGCCAGAAAAGCTCCAGCTATTAGTTCCATTATTAATCTGGATATTTTCATCTGTAAAATAAAAAATGGTAAACATTCTGAGTTTCTTCAAACTGAGTTGAATCAGGTTGTTTTTAAGTTGTATCGTGAAGCATTTTCTTCTCAAACCAGTAAAATATAAGCCAGACTAATAACATGAGTCAGAAAACTTGTAAAAATATTGAACATAACAAGTATAAAGTACAATTCTTATCTGTGGCAGAAATTACAATGGATGGTCCATTTATTGAAGATACTGTATGCATGTTATACAAACTGTATGTTGTCCAAACTGTCTTATTACAGAACGGTTTCTTTGTTTCCTAATTTCCTTACCTTTCAAAGGACACTAGGTTTATGTGGTTCAGAATGTCATCTCAGGCCTTTTGAAGGGACGTGTTGTTAATATATGTTTATGTATTTATATTTTGGTCATGTGTCTTTAGGGCTCTTACCTGCTGGCGGCCTCCAATGACTTTGCCAGTCGTATCTGGACTGTAGACGACTACAGACTGAGAGTGAGTCTTCACAGTGCTTGGACTCTAAACCTGTAACATGTCCAGTCTTCTGGTCAGTGATGTTATGTAAAAGGTCTGAATCTCAGATCCCCCTCGTCGGCCATTTTGGCTCCCAGCAGCCCCTGCTCTGTGCTCCCATCATGCTCTAGTGGTGCAGTGGTGGTCCCAGGAGCTGCTGACAGACGGGATGTGACATCACAGTGCGAGTCTGTACAGAGACCGTACAGGCTCAGTGTGATGATGTCATCCAACAGAACCAATCAGTGAGGAGCTGGGGCTGAGGAGGTGGGGCCTGAGTTGTGATCTGACTCTTCTGCTGAGACCATAAGACTGAGACAGTTTGATTGTTGAAGTTAGTTTCATGTTGGAGGTTTGAACATGCGTTTCTGTCCTTCTAGCACACTTTGACGGGTCATAGTGGGAAGGTTCTGTCAGCTCGCTTCCTATTGGACAACGCTCGCATTGTCTCCGGGAGCTATGACCGAACACTCAAACTCTGGGACCTCCGCAGCAAAGTCTGTACGTGACTGTACAGGTTTCCCATAGCAACCGTAGTCCGGGTCTAGTTATGAGTCAGCGCATTGTGTTCAGTCTGCTGAGTCATCACCTGCTGTCTCACCTGTGCAGGTATGAAGACGGTGTTTGCTGGTTCCAGCTGTAACGACATCGTGTGCACGGAGCAGTGCGTCATGAGCGGACACTTTGACAAGAAAGTTAGATTCTGGGACATCAGGTCAGTTCACTAGTTCTTATGAATAACACTAATAAAGCTCCAGTCTTTGGGTTGTGTGAGAAACGTGAGCACCAGGAGGAAAGCCACTCATCAGTAGAAGTGACTAAAGAGAGGTGAAGGAGGAGAGGAAGCCTTCACTCGTCCTCTTGAACATCTGTCCTGCTTCTCTTTTTTCATCTCCTTCTCCAGGATTTTTCTCTTCATCTTCTCCATTTCTGTCTGTCTGTCCTTCATCTTCTTGTCAAAGAAGCCTCTCCGCTTCTTCATTTTGAGACAGTCACATCTTCCTGCTTTGAGTCACTCAGCAGTGATACAGTCTGTTATGTTACAAACACTGAAGCGTTGCACTTGTTACTGTGTAGCTTTGATTGGTGATTTATTGGTGTTTGTCATATGTTGTGTTCAGAGCAGAGAGTATAGTTCAGGAGCTGGAGCTGTTTGGCAGAGTGACATCTCTGGACCTGAACCACGACCGCACAGAGCTGCTCACCTGCTCCAGAGACGACCTGGTGAAGATCATGGACCTGCGCACCAACGCTGTCAGACAGACGTTCAGGTGAGTTCAGCCCATAGGTCAGGTGTGACCCGGGTTAGGGTTAGGACGGGTTAGGGTTAGCTGTGAAGATGGACTCTGATGTTCTGATCCTGGTTATTAACGTGTGTTCTTTGTGTGTGTAGTGCTCAGGGCTTCAAGTGTGGAGCCGATTGGACCAGAGTCACCTTTAGGTGAGTTCAACGGTTCTTCACTGCTTCATTTTCCAAGAATGTAATGTGTGTTGTTGAAGAGTAAAAACATAGATAGAACAAATGTACTCTTTTCATTCATTCCCTGATCACTTTTATTTTGCTGTTTTTTGTATCACACTTCCTGTGCAGATGTTTCACATTAAAAGCCTCCCGTTAGAGGCTCTGTAGTACAAAAACCCTGGGTGTCATTTTAATGTGTGTGTGTGTGTGTGAACATGGAGAAGTCCAACTAGTCTGAGTGGAGTCTGGCACTGAGCTGCTGCTGTTGTTGTGTTCAGTCCTGACGGCAGCTACGTGGCCGGTGGATCAGCTGATGGAGCTCTGTACATCTGGAACGTCCTGACGGGGAAAGTGGACCGGACTCTGGACCGGAACCACAAGTAAGAACCAGACTGACACCAGAACAGGAGATGTGACGGATGTTTTATGTTTGATTGGTAACATTTGTTGACCGAAGGACAAATGAAGAATAACTGGTTGTTTTCTGCAGCTCTGCCATCAACTCGGTGTCCTGGTCGCCTTCAGGAGTGTTCGTGGCCAGTGTGGAGAAAGGAAGCCGGGCCATCCTGTGGTCTGACATGTGATTGGCTGGAGTCCTGATGATGAAGAAGAGCAGGACGTTTGTGTTGAAGATGGAGCTCCTTGTTGTTGAACTCAGACTGAACTCAGACTGAATCAGACGTGTTGAACTCTTCATGTTGAACGTAAACACAGATTGAATCTAATGTTTACGTTTTATTTTTGGACGCTTTGAGAAGCTTTTAATGTGTTTTAATTCAAACTGCCTCCACAATGTTTAAAACGTCATCAAGCTGGAAGAGTAAATAATAAAGTCTTTATTAACGATTATCAGAGGTGTTTTAACCAGACATTTGAAATGAATATACACGACACCGGCACCGGCGGGACATTTGGTACCGGCGGGACAGTGTGTGTGTGTGTGTGTGTGTGTGTGTGTAAGTGTGTGTGTGTGTGTAAGTGTAAGCGCGTCCGTGGGGTGGGTTTAAGCGCGTCCATCCAGCAGACAGACTGCTGAGTCTGACTGAGACACTAATCGGCTCAGCAGAGACTAACACTGCTGATGATGTGATGGAACAATCGTGTCAGAATGACAATAACATTAATTATGAATCATCATTAATCATGTAAAGACTCAGATTTTGTCATGAAAAGTTATTGAATCTACAAAATGTGAGTATGTAGATACTCTACATCTACATGTTGTAGATCTACTTTAAAACGTGGGTTTAAACGTGAGGAGACGTGCAGGTACGTGGGTTTAAACG